ACTGGTCAGAACCTGCTGAATACCCACCTCTGAACTGATGGGCTATTCTCCTAAAGCCACTCCTAAAACAGACGATGGAGAAGAATAGGAGAAGGGGGCAGACCCTCAATTTTCTCTGGGTGAAACCCACACTCTGCTTCCACAAGCCAACTTCCCTCCACGCCTCTCTGATTGAGAAGGCAGGATTTAATGGGCAATTATCGCAAAGGCTCTGAGCTGCATGCTGGTTCGTGGGCTCAGGGACTCAATTTTCCTTTTGTCGCACACAAAGAGGCTGGCGCATTCCCTGGCCAGGCGGGCTGATTTACGAAGGGGCTGCTGGAAAGAGGAGGGAGACAGGCACGGCACAAGCCGCCTCTTTCAAGCCCTCTCCCTTTAAATAAAACGAAGCGCCTGCCCTTGTTTACTACTGGTATCTCAGGCTGGGTGATCAATCCCAGCATGTCCCTTTTCCCCTCCCTTGTTGTTATCCCAGGAAATTGTTTAGGGGGAAATGCCACGCAGCTGCAAATAAGCAATTCACAACTTCGGGCGAAAGTCTTCTCGGCTCCCCAGAAAAGCATTTGGAGAAGCAGAACAAAAGCTCCGGCTAATTAAGGATGACGGGTGAGCAGCCTCAGGAAATCCCAAGCTGAAATAGTAGCAGTTGCGCTGACCCACAAAGAAGAAACAACTGATGTCAACTCCTTTCATCCCTGGCTGTTTTGAAGACCGGAGGCCAGGGGTGTTCACAGCTGCAAGCCACAAGAGCCATGTGTGCACTATGGCAGGAGTCGCCAACCTTTTCGACCTCAGGGACCAACAAACTCATAATTTTAGATCTCGTGGACTAGAGATCCTGGGAAAATCCCAAAAAAGTCTGCAGGAAAATTCCCCACCCCGTTTTCCTACCGATCGATCATTCTTTATTTGGGATCGCAGGATACCATCTCCAGCTCTGTTCTCAGGGGGAGAGAGGGAGAGACTTTTGGCTTCATGCAAGGAAAGCAGCAAAAGCAGCAGAAGTCTTTCGTTCTCTCCCCCAAACTCCGCCAGAAATGAGTCTTGGCCGGTGCAGCCTCTTGGAGCAGGATGCCTTGCAGGGTCCCAAAGACTCATTTCTGGGAGAGAAAGAAAGACTTTTGCTGCTTTCCTTGCATGCAGCCAAAAGCAGAAGAAGAAAGAAGCGGAAAGAAGCAGCCTGGTGGTCAGGCAAGGTGCATGGGGCGAGTGGGGCAAGTTCCCCCGCTCTGCCCTTTCCCCCCTCCCCTCACTACCTCGTGTTGTTCGCAATGCAAGTGACACAAGCCTTGTGTTCCCACGAGTCATGTGGGCAGCGCAGCCTTGTGTGTCCCGCGCAGCCTGGATTAATTGCTTTGGGGGTAACATTTCTCTTGAGGTCCACCGAACTTTTCTCGTGGACCACCAGTGGTCCCCAGCTGACTGGTTGGCAACCATTGCACTATGGCATTGTCATACACATATAGGTAAGTTCTTGACTTACCACCACAACCAAGCCCAACATTTCTGCTGCTAAGGGAGACATACTGAGTTTTCCTCGTTTTAAGACTTTTCGTGCCGCTGTTGTTAGGTGGATCGCTGCAATGGTTAAGGTAGTAGCACGGTTTTTAAGTGAATCCATTTTCCCTGTTAACTTGGTTTGTCAAACGGTCACCATGGGCCCAGTATACTGCAACCATCATAAATAGGAACCAGTTGTGCCAAGCATCCTAATTTTGATCACATGGTTGCGGGGATGCTGCAATCAAGGGTCGTAAGTGTGAAACCCGGTCATCAGTCACTTTTTTCCATTTCGTTGTAACTTTGAATGGTTATTAAATGAACTGTTGTAAGTCGAGGACGACCTGGTGTAACGGTGATGCTGACTCACAAAGTAGAAACAACTGATGTAAGCAGTTTTCATCCCTGGCTGTTTTGAAGATTGTAGACAAGGGGCATTTGTAGCTGCAAGCCACAAGGGCCACGTGTGCACTACGGCATTGTCATGCAAATACCACCATGACTGTTCTGACCTAGGCTTCCCAAGACCATGAAGCAGCCTCCTCATCCCAATAAAACCCCTTTTATTTAGGTTAAAGTGAATTCTTCTCCAGCAAAGTCCCAGCAAACAGTCTTTCATGAGATTTCACAACTACAGACCTTTAACAGGCTTGGAGAGTTGCCAGGCCAATCGCTTCTAAACACCACGCTATAGCAGCAATTACTTGGCAAGAAGTCAAGAACAGATGTTCACTCTAATGAACTAATTGTCTCCTGCAAACCCCACTCCCCTTCCGCTCCTCTTTTATTCCCTATGGGAGGGGCCATTCACCATCCACCTGAGCCTTTACTCCTGAGTCGGTCCTTGTTCCGTAACTGTTCCCTTCTCCTGGCAGCTCTGCGCATGTGCACACTGGGAACAGGCTCCCGCTGTTCTTCTGCCCCACTGATCTTTGAACGGTTCATTAAATGAACTGTTGTAAGTCGAGGACTAGTGTGCTTATTATGGCTGCAGTCTCCCAGGGATGCAAGATCAACATCGGCCACATTTCCAGTCAGCTTCTGACAAGCAAAGTCAATGGGGGAAGCTGGATTGGTTCAATGATGTCATGATTCACTTAACGATTTCAGTGATTTGCTTAACAACCCCAGCAAAAATCAGACCTGACTCACTCACCGATGGGTTAGTTTTCCTATGTTGTGCCATCCTATGTGTGTGAAGCGGTTGCTTTCTTTCTCCAACGTGCAGATCTGCGCAAGTCTCACTGCGTTGTACTGAATATATCACACTGCCCAGTTTGTACCTGGGTGTTTTATCCTTGGGGTTAAAAGTACCAGCTGTCTACAAGGAATATAAATCTTTCCATTCCCCACTATCCTGTCAGAGCTGAAGAAGCTCCTTGGATGAGAAGCGAAACATCTTCAAAAGAAAAAACAGAGTCCAGCTGCCTCCTGCAAAGGCACCTTTGGGATATGCTTGGGGTTGGACAAGCTTCTGCCTCAGTGTATTCTTGGGTTTGAAGTTTGCATGTATTCTGTGTTGGTTGAAAATCCTCCTGAGCTTTTTTGGGATATTCCTGCAATGTATGGAATGGTAACTTTGCTTCATTTATTGTTCTCTTCTTTACTTGTTATGGAGTCCATTTGTGTTTTGAAAAAGCACCTTTGAGACAACCATGACCTGGATGACTGAGATAGACATTTAGATTGGTTGCCACTTATTTTCCAAATACAATTCAATATATTGGCTTCCCTCTTCAAAGTGCTAACTAATTTTAAAGCCTAAGTACCTTAGCAACCTCTCCAGACATTAAGATTGAAACTAGAAACACTGGATATAAATAGTTTCAACAACGTTATAGAGCGTTGCACACCAGAACAACTAGACACAAGGACAGTTTTCTCCCACATGCCATCACTCTGCTAAACAACTAATTCCCACAACACTGTCAAATTATTTACTAAGAATGTATTACTGTTATTATTTTCATCCTTCCTATTACCTATCTCCTTCTACTTGTGATTATAACCTTGTTGCTTGTATCTTTACAATTTATATTATTTTATTTAGTTTCCTAGTATGATTTGGATTGCTTATTTAGTATTCTTTGATTATCACTATCACTAAGTGTTGTAATGATTCATAATGCATGTATTTTTATGTACACTGAGAGCTTATGCACTGAAGACAAATTCCTTGTGCGTCCAATCACACTTGGCCAATAAAGAATTCTATTCTATTCTATTTTAACAAGCTCTGATTGTCAGCAAGCAGGAGAAAGCTTCACCCTGAATTGTTCCTAAACTTCTAAACTGCTGCCTGTTTTTATTGCATTTGAATAAGTCAAATCCATATCATTTGGACAGTTTTTGGACCAGATCTGATTCTTAAAGAAGGTTTTGAGTTTCATCTTCTACTTTTCTTGATTTACTGTTTGATTAATTGGATTTACATCACTCTTTCCCCCAGCAGGTCTATGTAGCTCTGTAGGATTCTGCCTTCCAATTATATATCCATAAAAAAAGAAACTTCAGAGGTAGCGCTGGTCCGAGAAACACTGACTGGCATTAGATTATTCTTTTCTACTTTGTGAGCTGTGTCTTTGCTTCTATTTGTGTCACTGCAACTTTGATGGTTTTGCCAAGCTGGAAAGCAGGATATAAATTAAATCAATCCATCAATAATAGGGATGCTTTGGGGAGATGCTGACAGAGAATTGCTCACATTAACAATGCTCTTTTTCCCAGAGACTTCAAAGTCCAGGCACCGATAGGCCAATTGTGCCTTTTTGCAATGCAGACACAGAGACCAGGGAGTGAGGCCATTTAAGCTGGCTTTTGCTGAGAAAATAATTGCAACCATTACTCAGGGTGAAAACCGGCTTCTTACATAAAAAGTTCCTAGTTCACGGTTGTGAATAATAGGGGGTAGCTGAAAACAATTTCTGCCTTCAGACTGGAGAAATCTCTTAGCCTACACTGACCTCATGGATCTGGATTGCATTCACCCTTTATTCAGAAACCTGTGAACTAGAATCTTTGCATTTAAGTGGGGTCTGTGGTTCAGGAAAGAGATTCTCTGCCTGCAGATGAGATTCTGCCAAAACGTCGCTATAATAAAAGCACAAATATTAAGAGTGGGAAAATACCCGAAGAAACCTAAATACCATATATATGTGTGTGTGTGTATGTGTGTGTGTGAGAGAGAGAGGGGGTGAGAGAGAGAGAGACGAGAGATGATAGATAGATAGATAGATAGATAGATAGATAGATAGATAGATAGATAGATAGATAAGAGGGAGGGAGGAAGAGAGAGAGAAAGAGAGAGAGATGATATAGATAGATAACATATTCTGGAAGCATCTATAAAATCTTGGCAGTCCCTCTGTGCTTTTAAAATCTTTTTTAAAAGGAGACTGCATCATGCCCAGGACATTTCAAGCAAGCAGAATCCAAATCAAGCAGAAGCAACAAAAATTGAGGTGTAATTTTTTTTAAAAAAAGAAACAAATCCTACAAACCTTTGTAGCAGTAAGCATCAAATTTGGATGCCGGATCTGGGAAGCCAGTCCGGTTTGAGAATTGGTAGGTTGTCCTTACACCAGGTTCATCTCCGCCACATTTCTTCCGTGGGGTTTGGATTGGGTAGCGCACACTTCCATCAGCCAGCCACCCTGGGTCACACTGGTCCAGACCTTCCTGCCAGGCGAGGTATAACTGCCCCGTGGTTGCTAGCTGAGCCCCTCGACTCAGGCAATGCTTCTGGGCCATTTGAAATGTCAGCCGGCCCGGGCTGGTTGCATAAAACACTTTTCCTGAAATGGCAGGAAAAACTTCATTAGGTTGGACCCACGCAGGACATTATTACACCTCCAGTTTTCCACTGGTATACAGGCAATCCTCGACTTACAACCACAGTAGAGCCCAACATTCATGTTGTTAAGCAAGACAGTCGTTAGGAGTGGTGGCAATGGCCTAGAGGCGGAGCTCTCGCCTCATAATCAGGAGGCTGTGAGTTCGATCCTAGGTAGAAGCATATATTTCTCTCTCTGGGCACAATGAGAATATATCTGCTGAACAAAACTCTGCACTGGCAACAGGAAGGGCATCTGGCCGGTAAAATACTCAGCTCCATTCAGTTGCCCAGACTGCGCCCCGCAAGGGATTAGGGGGTCGTTAAAAGATGATGATGAAGCAAGACAGTTAAGTGAGTGTTGCCCCATTTTCTTGCCATGGTTGTTAAGTGAATCACTGCAGGAGTTAAGTTAGTAACATGGTTGTTAAGTAAATCTAGCTTCCCCATGGACTTTGCTTCAATCCAAAAAGAGATCACTCTGGTAGAAAAACAAATCTGGTCACGTTGCCAATTTCAAAAGCCAATACAAAAATGTATGCCATCAGATAAAGACTGAATGCACCAATTATCACATTAAACAAGAGGAAAACCTTCTACACACCAATTCCACCTGCACTTTTTACAATTTTGTAAACAACAAATTAAAAGACTCAAGGTCCATCCCACCCCTGATAGGACCTAATGGTAAAGACTGCAACGACAACACCATTAAAGTCAACATCTTTAACACATTCTTCGGCTCAGTATTTGTAAACAGCAATGGATCATGCCCAGTATTTCCTAGCCGAACCACAGAAAACTACAATGATCTAATACATATCGATTTACAGAAGACAATGTTGAAAAAGCACTACGCAATCTAAAACCATCGTTTCTCTGGTAATATCACACTACTAACTACAGCATACAAAACATTTGCTAGACCAATACTCAAATACAGCTCATCAGTCTGGAACCCACATTACGTATCTGATATTAGCACAGTTGAGAAAGTCCAGAAATATCTCACAAGAAGAGTTCTCCACTCCTCTACTCGTTGTAGAATACCTTATGCCACCAGACTTGAAATTCTAGACCTAGAAAACCTTGAATTACGCTGTCTTCGGTCTGATCTAAGTACGGTATATAAAATCATACATTGCAATGACTTACCTGTCAATGAATACTTCAGCTTCAACCATAACAACACAAGAGCACACAATAGATACAAACTCAAGGTTAACCAAACTTGATTGCAGGAAATACGACTTCAGCAGCAGAGTGGTCAATGTCTGCAATACTCTACCTGACTCTGTGGTTTCTTCCCCAAACCCCAAAAACTTTAACCTTAGACTATCTACTATTAACCTCACCCCTTTCCTAAGAGGTCTGTAGGGGGTGTGCATAAGCGCACCAATGTGCCTACCGTCCCTGTCCTATTGATTCTTTTATTTTTCTTACATGTACCCATTTCATATATTCATAACTATGTATATACTTATACCTATTGTCGGTATGTGCTCCTTTCAAAATCCAAGAAAGAAATACTCAGACTCCATGGTTCAGAGCAAAGTTCTTCTTTTACTGGAAGATGAAAAGGAAGCTACAAATGGAATTCCGAAAGTGAGAATTTGGCGCGCAGATCACACATACAAAGAAATGGAATTGTTCCCACCCCCCAAAGTCCAGAAGTCTCCGCCAATTAAAAGTTCCGAATATGATCATGTGAGCATCTTCAGGTAGTGATGAGGCCTCTGTCCGTTGACCTTGACATATTTTGATAAGACCTCGCAGCTGCGCAAAAAGGATAGAGGCTAGGAAAGAAATGGAAAATTGGAAAGAAGAAATCCCCCCCCTTCTTCTGCCCACAGTAAAAAATGCAAAACACCTCCAGCTCTCTTCCCCCCCCACAATTACCCCTCCCCCCCGTTGCTAATGACAGCCGAAAGAAGTAAGCCTAGTAGTAGAGATACTAAGGGAGAAATAAAGGATAATAGTTGGGGTACCCGAAGAGATCTTGAGGCTGACACCTATTATCTTGTAAGTGATTGACAAATCAAAATAAATAAATAAAAAATAAAAATAAAAGGTCGCAAAAGGGGGTCACTGCAACCATCATAAATATGCAGCAAGTTGCAAAGCATCCACATTTTGATTGTGGGGCCATAGGGATGCTGCAATGGTCGTAAGTGTGGAAAACAGTCCTAAGTCACATTTTTCAGTGCCATTGTAATTTCAAACAGTCACTAAATGAACGGTTGTAAGTCGAGGATTACTCGTAAATTCACACATGGTTTTAGAAACACCTAGCCTTTTCCATATTAGATGTCTAAAATCAGGGGTGGTTGCTTGACTTATGGTTCAGCATATTGTATGAAAAATGGATTTATTCAATAGACAGTCCTTGACTTACATTTGTTTAGCAACCATTCTAAGTTATAACGTCACTGAAAAAATTGACACGATCGATTTTTACACTTATGGCCATTGCACCATTCCCCCATGGTCATGTGATCAAAATTTGGGTATGTGACTGTCCCAGGGTTCTATAATCACCATCTGTAACCTTCTCAGCCAGCTTCCGACAAGCAAAGCCGCTTGGAGAAGCTGTTTCACTTAACGACCGCATGATTCACTTACCTTCAGTGATTCACTTAGCAATTGTGGCAACTGTCATAAAATGGGACACAATTCAGAGGACAATTGGGACTGCAGGAAAAACAATTACTACCAACCTGCCTTCAATCGAGGACCTGTATACTGCACGAGTCAAAAAAAGGACTGTGAAAATATTTACAGACCCCTCACATCCCGGACATAAACTGTTTCAACTCCTACCCTCAAAACGACACTATAGAGCACTGCACACCAGAACAACTAGACACAAGGACAGTTTTTTACCGAACGCCATCACTCTGCTAAACAAATAACTCCCTCAACGCTGTCCAACTATTTACAAAGTCTGCACTACTATTACTATTAATCTTCTCATCACTCCTTATCACCCATCCCCTCCCACTTGTGACTGTATGACTGTAACTTTGTCGCTTGTATCCTTACGATTTTTGTTGACTGTTTCCTAGTATGATTTGATTGCTTATTGTACCCTATGACTATTATTAAGTGTTGTACCTGATGATTCTTGACTTTTGACAAATGTATCTTTTCTTTTATGTACACTGAGAGCATTTGCACCAAGACAAGTTCCTTGTGTGTCCAACCACACTTGGCCAATAAATAACTCTATTCCTATTCTACTCCCTTTAACAACTTCAATTGCTTAGCAATTGAAATTTTGGGTTCAATTGTGGTCCTAAGTCCAGGACTATCTGTAAAGGAAGTTCAACTTGCTGCCAGCAGAAAAAAGTACTTTTATTGGAAAGGGCGAGGCTGTTTTCAATGAAATTCCCTTGGCTCTGGTTGTTTAGGTTAAATCTGCCTTTACTTTTGATTTGTTATTCAGTTTCAAAGAGGTATTTGGGGGGAAAAAAACTTCATTACTTAAGGAACAAAGCTCAGTGAAGATAAGTTGCCCGGCCCTCTTCTCTCCAGACATAAACGAGAGAAAAGTAGCTAAGCAGCAGGCTGATTTATCAAAGCCTTTCCGATTTTCCCCTCAAGGCTCTCGGGAGACAAAACAACAGTTTTGATGGCCTCTTTCATTTCATGAGGAACATTTCCCCGCTCAAAATGGCCGCATCAGTTCCTTTGGATGGAAGAAACAGAGAGGTCGATGCAACAGTCCTTCAGGATTCGCTTTTGGTCAACGTGTGTGGGTTTGCATGTCAGTGTCACCTGTTTCCAAACAACGCTCAAGCAACATTTATCAGCCCACCACAGACATTTTTGGGATTGTAAATTTTGCCTGCTGGCATCTTGGGAGCCCGAACAATAGCGAGAAGATCCAATTTCAGGTTTGAAAACATGATTGATCGGTGGTAAATAAAAAAGGCTCTTGGCAACCTTTCATGGGTTTCAATGGCAAATCAATCCACTAATGTTGCATTTAATTAGGGAGAACAAATGATAATTGCCAGAGAAGTGGATTAAGGACATCTTGCTCCGGGTTTGAAGATTTTTTCTTTTTACAGCTTTTCAATTTAAATGTGTTCCTGAACATTGTTATCATTATATTTCATGAACAGCTTTTGTTTGCTGATTTCATTCCCCTGGAGCATGTTTTTCAGGATTTGAAGTTTTGGTGTCACGTACAAGAATCAACATTTAAATCAAGGGTTACATGAAAAAGCAGCTGAAGATTCTGTAGTTTCAACTTCATTTATTTCCAGACCTTCTTCGTGTTTTTTTTAAAGTTTTGATTCTATCAACTACCAATTACTACCAACCTGCTTTCAAACAAGGACCTGTATACTGCATGAGTCAAAAAGAGGGCTATGCAAATATTTACAGACCCCTCACATCCCAGACATAAACTGTTTCAACTCCTTCCCTCAAAACAACGCTATAGGACACTGCACACCAGAACAACTAAACACAAGGAGAGTTTTTCCCCGAACGCCATCACTCTGCTAAACAAATAATTCCCTCAACACTGTTCAACTATTACAAAGTCTGCACTACTGTTACTATTAATCTTCTCGTCACTCCTTATCACCCATTCCCTCCCACTTATGATTGTATGATTGTAACTTTGTTGCTTATATCCTTACAATTTTTATTGACTGTTTCCTAGTATGATTGGATTGCTTATTGTACCCTATGACTATTATTAAGTGTTGTACCTGATGATTCTTGACGAATGTATCTTTTCTTTTATGTACACTGAGAGTATTTGCACCGACAAATTCCTTGTGTGTCCAAACACACTTGGCCAATAAAGAATTCTATTCCATTCCATTCCATTCTATTCCAAGAATGTTGGGTTTTTTGTGTGTGCTTTTAGTTTTAAAACTCACAGGTTTAGTTCTCAAGCTGCCTCTTTGTTTTCCCCATCAACATCTTCCCATTTCATCCTAAAGACATTCTCTTCTTCCTCCTCTTTTCCCCTTCTTCAAGTCCTCTCTGCCTTTCTCCTTTTCTCACCGGCATCTTCTATGTCTGCTTCTCTCTCCCCATCTTCCTTGTCTTTCTTCTTCATCCTCCTCTCTTTTCCCCTCATTCTCTGTTCTCCATCATCTGCTTCCTGCTATTCTTTCTCTTTCTGGTCTCTTTTCTTCCCTCTCTATATGCCACCTTCTGTTCAGCTTCTCTCTTTCGTCCTTTATCCAATTCTCGTTCCCTATTCATTGCTCTTTAGCCAAACCACAAGTCTAGTCCATCTTAGATTTATTTCTATTGCTGAAGCAACATTTAAAACTCTGTAAAAATGGTCAGACAGAGCTTTATATTAAGCTAGCCAGGATAGGTGCCCTGCGGGAAGCCAAATACTTGCTTGAGGCCAACATCAAACCCAGTTCTGAATGGAACCTCATTCTATGTCCCCTTCTAAGTTTTAATTAACTTTAATTTTCCAAGGATCGGGGGTTTCTCATTTATGTTCCTCTGAAAACACAAACAAGGGATGTACACAAGTTATGTGAAGAATGCATTCAGCAACTTGCTTAAGCCAACACCTTTTGGGTTTACTCAGGACTGGGGCAGGAGAAACTCCATTTTGCAACACAAGTGATATACAGTTGAGTTATCCAAGATCAAGCCAGCTTCAGCCCTTTTCTAACAATCAGTGACAAGAGTTTCCAAGGAGCCTCTAACAGAGTGGCATTTCATTTCCTTCTGGCGGGTATCATTCAATCAACCGCCATCTGCTCCAAATAGGTCCTTGAAGTCCATTTCACTGTTTCCCAGAATGACCAATAAAAGGTCTCCAAGAAGCCTCAATAGCCTGTCCTACTAGGGTTGCTAGAAAGCCGCGTTTAGAGGCAGATTAATAAACAGGGAGCAAATGTATGATAAAACCCCTTTCCAGTTTTGGAAAAACAGCACCGAGTCATTTCCGTAAAAAATATTTGAGGTTTATTTTGCTCTGTGTTTTAGCTTAGAACAAAGGTGTCAAACTGAAGGCCTGGGGGCCAGATGTGGCCCTTGGGATGTTTAGATCTGGCCTGCAGGGCACCTTGGAAAAAAACAAAGGACCGGTCCACAGTGCTTCTGCCAGTGAAAACGGAGCTCTAACCCGCATGCGTTCCTCCCAGGGGTAGGATTTGCACCTATTCGCTGGAACCGGTTGTTAACATTCTAAGCAGTTCGGAGAACCGGTTGTTAGAAGAAATTACTGGCCTAATCCTGTAAGGAAGGCAGGAAGGAAACATTCTGGGGTTGCTTACTGAAGCTGCTTCTCCATTGACCCTTATTACATTCTTGGCAGGACTAGACTTCCTGTCTCAGGAACTTCTCTAGAGTTTTTTCCCCCTCCTTTGCTGGTACTTTGCTTGTGTAGAGTGACCATTCAAAGTTACAATGGCACTGAAAAAAGTGACTTATGACCATTTTTCACACTTACAACTGTTACAGCATCCCCACAGTCACGAGAGGCCAGGCGAGGAGATTCATGCCTCGATGTGAGTGATGTTGAGTTGGCCACACCCAGCCAGTCACATGACCACCAAACCATGCCCACAGAACCGGTTGTTAAAAAATTTGAATCCCACCCCATGTCCCTCCTGAACTCCATTTTCACTGGCAGAGGGTTGCAGGAGGCTGTTGCAGCCGAAAACAGAACTCGGGAGCCTGTTTTTGCTGGCAGAGCGCTCAGGCCAGAACAGGTGCCCCCCCCCACGACACGAGTGATGTCATGCTGGCCACGCCTACCCCAGCCCCCCTCCCCAGGTCAAACACATCCCTGATGCGTCCCTCAATGAAATTGAGCTTGGCACCCCTGGTGTTAGAACGTGCAAATTCCAATAGGACTAGTCATCCTCAATTTACGACTGGTTATGACGGACCTCCCTGGGGATAGCTACAAGCCAGTTCCAAAGATCTAAGGGCCACCATCTCCACAGTCACATAACTGGATGTTGGGTGTTCAGCAAACAGCCCACATTGATGGCCGTTGACAGCATCCCACAATCACGTGTGACCATATATTACAACATTTTTGCTGAAAAACCAGCATCAACTTCCGCTTTTCGGCAAAAAGACACTGGCTTGCTTAACGACCGCAGCATTCACTTAACAACCACCACAAAAAAGGTCATAAAATTGGAGCAGTCACCCAGGTGACTTGATTTATGACCATCATGACGGGCATGATGGGCGGGCTCCATTATGCTCATAATTTGAGGACTAACTGTAGGGCTAAAGAGAGAAACCAAAAGAGGCAACTGGGTTTTAAAAGCTGTAGGTAGGTGCTACATTTGCATCCCTGCAGTCTTCAACGCGTGCCTTTTGGATGGAAGCCCAAGTACTCCACAACCCTAATAATTAAATCAACAATATTTAATGAATTTAATGGAAATGAAACTCAGTTAATTCAATGCGTGGTTTTTTTTCCCCCTCCTAGCTCCGTTCACTTTTTAATCTCTGCCTTACCTACCTTTTAGCAGACAGCCTGTGGCCTCCTCACCTGGGGAATTAGCTTTGCATGTTTTATGCATTTTCTGCCTAAATTCCATCCATTGGAGTTTGGGGGATACAAAGTCAGAGATCCGGAAGACATTCCAAACTCAAAATATTTCAAGCTTGAAATACCCCATTTCACAGTCAAAAGAATGATTGAGAATTTAAAATATGGGTTTCAATGGTGCTGGAGGTGAACTGATACTGTTTCAACCATGCCAGAAAAGTCCTGAACGTATAAATGAACCATTCTGAGCCTTCTGGTTGTTCTCCAAAGAGTACGGCTAGTTCTCCATTCATTTAATGACCGTTCAAATTTACGATGGCACTGAAAAAAGTGACTCATGATCACTTTTCCCACTTACGAATGATGCAGTGTCCCTGGAATCACATGATCAACATTCAGATACTTCGTAACTGATTTATGATGGTTGCAGTGTCCTGTGATCTTCTGACAAGCAAAGTCAGTTTCACTGAACAACTCAACTTCTCTAACTCACTTAACTGTCTTACTTCATCATCATCTTTTAACAACCCCATAATCCCTTGTCGGGTGGAGTCTAGGCAACTGAATGGAGCTAGCAGAGTGTTTACTGGCCGGATGCCCATCCTGTTGCCAGTGCGGAGTTTTTTCAGAAGATATATTCTCATTGTGCCCAGAGAGAGAAATATCTGCTTCTGGAAACGGAGAAGCCAGATTCACTTAACAACCCTGTTGCTAACTTCACAAATGCAGTGATTCACTTAACAACCGGGGCAAGAAAGGCCGTAAACTGGAGCAAAACTCACTTCACCATTGTCTCGCTTAGGAACAGAAAATTGGGGGCTCGATTGTGATCATAAGTTGAGGATCACCTGTAGTGGAACATCTCCAGGAGGTCAGAACCTGTTTTTAATCCTGAACAGGGAATTCCAAGTGAGAAAAGTTTTCGGCTCTATTACACAACCCACACAGGTTCCAAATCCATTGTTGCACCAGGCACAACATTCTCTCTGTTTTTTTCCCCCCCAAAACAACCATGCATTTTGCCCCTGGAAAGAGTTCAGTACATCCAGTATATATTCTGCTCATAACTTGCCTTGGAGTTCTCTGGAGTAGCAGTAGACATCGTATGCTTCGCTGTCATCTCTCTTGCCATAGCTGCGGACTCCTGGGAGGCTGTTGCGATCTCCATAGCAACCAGGTCTTGACAGGGTGATGGGATACCTGAATGAAGAAAAGGGGAGGGGAGGAGAATTAAGGGGGGAGGGGAAAGGAGGCAGCTGCTTTAAACTCCATCACTAAATGCTCCTTTCAGCCAGGAAGGAAAGTAATACGGTAAAGACCTCAGGAAAAGCAGGGGAGGGTTTAAGGGACAAAGGTGTGAATCCTTGAGGTCCTGGAAAGAGTGCAGAGAAGATGGCTGGAGGTTAACACAAAAGAAGAATGGTTGCAGGAATTGGGTAGGCCTGCTAGTCTAGTGAAAAGAAAATCCAGGGGGTGATGGGATAGCTGTGTTCCAACATTTCAGGGGCTGCCACAAAGATGAGGGGGTCAAACTATTTTCCAAATTACCTGAAGGCAAGACAAGATGGAATGGATGGAAACTAACCAAAGGACAGGAACAACGTAGAATTAAGCAGAGATTTCCTGACAGTGAGAACAATCAACCAGCGGAATGGCCTTCAGAAGTTATGGGTGCCCCAACATCGGAAGCTTTCAAGACGAGACTGGACAGCCATTTGTCTGAAATGATACAGGATCTCCTGCTTGAGGAGGGTGGACTACGTGACCTCCAAGGTTCCTTCCATTTCTATTCTATTCTATTCTATTCTATTCTATTCTATTCTATTCTATT